TCTCGAGCCTCGGGGAGGAGGGTCACGAGTCTGGGGCTCCCGAGGAGGGCGGATGGCTGGAGCCCGTCGCGCTCGGAGTTTCCCTTCGAGCTAGCAGGACCTGACTCTTCCCGGCGGGTCCCAGCTGTTCCCGCAGGTGCCCCCTAGGCGCGCCTTGGGCCGCAGGTGAGCCTAGCCCAGTGCTGCCCCGGGCATCAGGTGTCGTGGGAACCTCGCCGGCGGCGCTCGGGGAGGGAGCCCGTTGTTTCCAGCCTTGGGTGACACAAAGAGGGAGGGTAGGGGCCCAGGACACCTGCGCTAGCCATGGAGGGCACCCAGAGGGGAACAGAGTGCGAGATGCACCGGTTTGGCAACACTGGGGCTCCGCCATGGACCACAGGTCAGTGGGGTTCGTGGCTGGGGTGGGAGCACCTTCCCTGTGTCACTTCGGCAAGGTTTGGAGGTGACAGCAGAGTCGCGCCTGTGGATGCTAGCTGTGTTTTCCAGGAGGCAGGTGAGAATCCAGCGCAGGCAGCCACTGGAGCCCAGAGTGTCCCTTCTCTCTCGGAGGCCAACTGGACTCCCGCCAGGGTCTCAGAGACCACTCCTGGAGTGGTTTCGCGTCTGCTCTTAAGTTGGGCCCTTTCTTTATAAAGGCTGTGCCCAGGGTAGAAATGGGAGCAACAGCAGGGGCTCTGCAGTAGTCTGGACTCCCGCGGCTTGCAGAAGCCAAGATCTCAGGGTGTGGTGAAGGGATGGCAGCAGGCCAGACTTGGCTTTCTCGCTGGGAACCAGCACCACGGAGGTAGTCCATGGCGTGGAAGAAGAAAGAGGAAGGAGGGACGGCGGAGAGAATAGAACAGTTCTCATTCTGCAGGAGCAAAAGCTAAGGCTCAGCGAGGACCTAGTGAGCTGCCTGAAGTCACAGACTTGTCGAATTGTAGAAGCAGAGAGGGAGGGAGGGAAGGAGGAAAGGAGGGGTCTGGTAGGAAGCAGCAGCCCTGAAGAAGCAGCTTGTGGCAGCTTGCGGTGCTTTCACCAACTACACATTCCCTCTCTAGCCCACATTTCTGCAGCTCAACCCAATTTAGCCCCTGGCTGCTGAGAATAAATAAGTCTGAGTCCGTCTAGGGCCAGCACCTGGACACCCGAGATCCCCTGGGCAGGGGCTCACGCCAGCCAGTGTGGCTCCCCGGGGTTTGTAAGCTTAGCACTCAGTCCAGAATGAAAGCTGGGCTTCTGGAACAACTTGAGCAGTGTTTTGAATAAATTAATGGTGATTGGCTGTCTTCTCTTTGTCCCTGTAGGTTACTGTTACATGGTGCATGGCTAGTGTGTATAAAGTTTATTTTTCTCTTTATCATAACGGAAAAGGGCTTAGTGGGATATCAAATCAGTAGTTCACCAAACACTTTACTATCAACAAATTCATTGTTGTAGTTATTCATATGGAGTAACCAGGAGAAAGTGTTTTAAGTCTCTCCTAGTTAGGTTCTCTATTGCTGTGATAAAACACCATGGCCAAAAGTAACTCAGGGAGGAACGTGTTTATTTCAGGTTATAACTCTCAGTCACAGTCCGTCACTGTGGAAAGTCGGGGCAGAGGCAGGGGAACTCAGGGAGGAACGTGTTTATTTCAGATTATAACTCTCAGGTCACAGTCCGTCACTGTGGAAAGTCGGGGCAGAGGCAGGGGAACTCAGGGAGGAACGTGTTTATTTCAGATTATATCATCTTTCTTTCTTCTTTCTTCCTGCCTTCCTCCCTCCCTCCCTCCCTCCCTCCCTCCTTCCCTCCCTTCCTTTCTCCTTTCCTTTCCTTTTCTTCTTTTAATCTGTTCTTCGAGGCTTTCATCTCATGCCTCTCATCCCATTCATTTCCCTGTCCCTTCATATCTGCCCTCTGCCATTGCAACTTCTGCAACCCACCAAAATAAAATAAAATTTAAGAGAGAAAAAAGAAAATAAGTGAGAAGGAAAAAATCCATTTTGCCATGGAAACTGTAGCATGACACAGTGAGTCACGAAGTAATCCCTTACATCCAGATATCTTTACTTGCAAGTGTCCTTGCAAAGAAGTCTGGTTCAAGGCCTCTATTTCTGTTACACTATCAGTGCTGGGCCCTCACTGGGACTCCTCTTAGTTGTCCTGTTGTTGCCCTGTGTTGTGGGAATCCTGCAGCTTCGGGTGTGCAGGACTGATCCCTTCACGTGCTCAGGCAGATCACAGATGAGGTGGATGTTGGGGTGGGCCAATTCCTAACCTTGGTTCTGGGCCTGGGTAGTTGCAGGGTTGGTCTGCCTGCCAGCCTCCCCTGTCCTCACCACCGGGGTGAGAACTCCTGAACTGCCTTGGTGATTTTACCCCTTGAAGCAGTGAGCAAGGGATGGATGGGGCCAGGTCTCTTGTTTTCATGTCCTCCGGGTTGGACCTCCCACACCTACCCCTCAGGGTCAGCTTTCCTGTGCTACCCAGGCATGGCATAGGGGACACTCTCCTGAGTACAGCTGCTGATGACAGGCAGGACCAGCTCTTGAGCTCTTGCGGCCTCAGGGCCAGCTCTCCCACCTGCCTCAGATGTTGATGGGAGGGGGAAGCCCGCCCACCCCAACCCCCAGCCTGTGCACCACATGACAGATGACTAATGGGGACAGCTCTCCCACGCTCATTACCGGGCTGGCTCACCCACAGCTCTGCCAATAGGATTGGCTCTATTGTGCTGCCTGGGTGAGGTGTAGGGCCTGCTGGAGTGTTGCAGCTGGTGGGTGACAGGGGCAGCTCTGCTGCCTTCTGACCTCAGGGCCAGCTCTCTCCCTCATGCCACAACATGACAGATGAGTAATGGGGAGGTCAGCTTGCTTTCTTACATCACCTAGGACCATCTATCTACCCAGGGATGGCCACCCCTTCCCCCAAGTGGGCTGAGCCTCCTAGCTTAATATTAAGAAAAGGTCCTAAGGACACGCCTACAGGCCAATCTTACTTTTTTTTTTAAAGATTTTATTTATTTATTATGTATATAACATTCTGCTTCCATGTATATCTGCACACCAGAAGAGGGCACAAGATCTCATAATGGATGGTTGTGAGCCACCATGTGGTT